CCCAGCCTGGTCTGGGCGGCTCGCTCTCAGTTTCGTTTTCCTTGTGGACTCCGCCTTCCGCTGCGGCCGCCCAGCCCCCTCCCGCACACGTCCTCGCTAGCTCCGCGATCGCGGGAGCCTGGCGCCTTCACCCGGAATCCTCACCAGAGGCACCGCAGGGCAGGCTCGGCTCCCACATGCAGCGCCTGCCTGGTCACGTCCAGGCCCTTGCATCCCCACCTTGGCTTTCGGTGCAGGTAAGGATCCGCAGAAGGTGTGGAGGACACTGAGGTCTCCTGCGCCTGCAGCGTGCCAGGCGCTAGTTGAACTAGGCTTTGGGTTCAACCATCCCATTTCTTCTTCCACTCAAATAGTTGGAGTCGGGGTGGATATTATTTTACAAGAGAAGAAACTAAGTAAATTAATTCGCCCAGGGTCTTGCCTCTGGTAGGTGGAAAACCCGCATTCTGTTCAATGTCAGGCCCTTAAACATCAAAGTACTCCGTCCCCTTTCGACACTGCTGCCTGGTCACATTTACAAGGCTAGAGATGAAGAGGCTTGGGGGCATAATTTTCCTTCTGTTTGCACCCGTCTATTGATTCATTCAACTAATACTGTCAGCAGCCATACCAAGCACAGGCCAGTCCAGCAGTTAGGAGAGCCACCTGCTCCCTGAAGGACCTCAGGGAGTTTACTACCCAAGTCCTTACCAGTAGTCACCGATTGATAAGAAATCCTACTCACCTAATAGACTATGAAATAGTTGCAGAGTAATACTGCCTCATTGACGGTAATTGAGGAGTGCTGAGGGCTTACTTCACAATACTGCAAGGTAGGTTTCATTAGCTTGTTTAACAGATGAGAAACTGAAGTCAGGAACAGAGAAGTTAAATAACACAGCTAGTAAGCAGAGGAGCTAGAATTAGAAGCACAAGTCTGTACTGTCAACATCTTAGGGTAAGAAAGATGATCCCAAAATAGACCTCAAGTATACATTAAATATTGGGTGTTGACTCTAGGAGTCTTTTTCCACTTCTCTTCTACATCCCCCCATATTGCAGGGTATCAGTGTCTAAAAACTAGCTCACGTCTTGGATATGACTTAAGTCCCCCAAATGTGAAGCATTGGTGGAAGGTTTGGAAGGTAGACAGGAGGCAAAGCCATCTTTGTGTGGCATTTCCAGGAGACAAAATCTCCAGTGGTGGTAAATGTTTGCAGGGATTAGAGTGGCTGTGGCAGCAGCAATGGCAGTAGCAGTGACAACTGTTCTACTTTCCAAAGCCTCCAAATTGCCCAAGAGAGCTTAGAGAAAGAAAACAACAGATTCAAACATGGTCAAAAGACACACACTTATATGATCATCTCGGAAGAATCCCTTAATGGAGCTTCAAAGCTGATGTTGTAAAAATCAGGTACAGAGTGTGATGCCACAAGTAGCAGAATTTTACAATATAATTTGTAGCCTCACTAGGTCTCTTGTATGAACATTGAGGGCATTGACTGGGGAAGAATGAGGCCCTGGGGATTTGGGTCGATTTGAATGAATCCAGTTACCACTGGTATAGCCTAGCTTGTAGATCCTGAAGCAGTCACTCCCAAATGCCCCATCCCTACCTTATGCCTTCCATCCTAGAAGTAGAATCAGATGCTAGGATACCCCAAAAGGATACAGACAAGATCTGACCCAGAGGATAGTTTACACAATAAAAGAATTGCAAGATTTTACTTTTTTTTTTCCCCCAGTGTATGGAAATGGTTCTAAAAGTGACGATAAAAAATGAACATAATTTAGATTATGTACTCAATGTGCTGGCCCCAGCAGCTGGGAATGGTTCTTAACAGTTTGTTCAGTTGGTTTACTACAATCTGGGCTCAAGGGTGGCCCACATTAAATGAGGTTGTGATGTCAAGTAATACAAATGAAGAAATTAAAAATACTTTGGGAGTCAGGGACATTGAAATAGATTAATCATATGCAACCCATTCATTCACTACCTAAACATGCCCCCCGGCCCAGGAAAACCTGAAGGATCCTCTTTCATCAGGCATTAAGAAATATATTGAAGATGGGAGCATCAGCATCCTTGAAAATTCTGTAATGGCTGACCACCGTTGGTGGGGAATTGTCGATGGGAGATGCTGCCATTGAAAAAGCTCCCTGATTTCAAAAAAGCTCCCATAGTGGCAGAGGCCATGTGGCAACTTAAACCCCAAAGAAAGGGCAACAGGATTAGAGCACAATCATGAAGTTTCAATCACCAGAGATATTTAGTGGTGATAGATTTACCCTGGCATTCCTAGGGCTGAAAAATATGGCAGTCCACAGGCATGTAATTTGAGTGGATATCTAAGACCCTCTTAATTCTGTGATATCAACCCACATGTCTGAACTCATGGGTTCCTTGTGATGAGACAACTGAGAAAGGAAAATTAAAGCACACTACACTACTATTAATCAAAAGTGATTGATGTATTACAACAGCCCCTTTGGGAAGTGGCCCTAAAGAGTAGGAGAAAGGAAATCTTTCCAGTGGGCAGAACTTTGAGCAGTATGTTTAGCTGTCACTTGGAAAAAGTGGCTTGGACTGAACCAGTGGCTAACAATTTAACTGGATATTCAGAGATTTGGAATAAACGAGATCAGAGGATTGGTGATAAGGAGGTCTGAGGAAAATGATGTGGGTGATCCACTTGGAAATGGACACAGAGTATGAGCATATTGGGTTCCCTTATGAATGTTCACCAAAGGCACCCCCTTCTGAAGAGGCTTTCGAGAAGCAGATAGACCAGGAGACTTCTACAGATGTCAGCTTTCCCCCTAGCTACTCTAGTGCTTGTTCAAAATGAATGAAGGGGCAGAAAGAATGGGTAATATGTGTGAGTTCAACATGGAATTCTCATCAAAGCTAATCTGGCTGCTGAGAAGCCAACATGCCAACAGCAGAGACCAACTCTGAGCTTCCAGTGTGGATTACCATACTCTCCCAGCCAGCTTCTTGGTTACATGGGAGCCCTTCCATCATGGCGTGGGAGCGACTTGCCATCTGTGGAATAAAAATTTATTCCAGATATGGATGTGCTTTTCCTTCCTGCGATGCTTCTGCCAGCACCATCATTGTTGGACATTCTGAATACCTTGTTCACCATCATCGTATCCCTCACTAAGAAACCCATTTTACAGAAAAGGAGTGAGACAGTACACTGATGACCATGGATTCAATTGTTTTATTATGAACCCCATCGTCAAAAAGCAGCTGGCCTTATAGGATAATGGGATAGAGTATTGAAGACTCAGTTACAGCTCAGGTAGGAGACAACAGTTAGCAAGATGGGTATACTGTCTTCAGGTGCAGGATATATTCTAAACCAGGTGGCTGTTTCTTCCACAGCCAGAATACGTGAGATCAAGAAACAGAAGTAAAAGGGTGTCTCCCACAGGTAAACTGTATCACGCACTTAACAAAATAAGTGCTTCCTGCTCTTATGACATTGGACTCTGTTTTCAGTAAGGGACACAGATCCTGGAACCGGAAGTTGAAAGTGCATCTGGATATTGCAGATTCATCATGCTATCAAGTCATTAAGAACACAAAGGGATTACTGAACTGGCTGGGCTGATTGACATAAATTGCCAAGAGGAAATCGTGATGCAGCTACACAGGTTGAAGAAACCTAGGGCTTTCTCTAGGGTTGCTTCTAGTAATCCCATATTCAGTGATAAATGTTAATGAAAATCTAAAAGTGTCCACAGGCAGAACTGTTAAGGACGCAGATCCTTCAAGATTGTCGATTTATATCATCCTACTAGCTGTGGAGACTTCTGAGGGCAAAGGAAACAAATGAATAAGGAAACTATAAACATCAACTATAGTCTCATGACTGGTTGTAGAATGAAGGACCGTAGAAGCTATGCATGTTCTTTTCCTTGCTTTGTTTTTGTATGTGTTAATGAACTTCTTTTAATTGCTTTTTCCTTTCCTTTTATATGAGATTGCTGGTGGTAGTTAATTTTATAAGTTAGTCTTATATTTAAGTGTTTTAAAGGTGGGACTATGACTAAAATAGAAGAGGAAGGAACATCACATAGTAAAGGGTATAAAAATTTAAGGGATAGGATATCTGTATTTTCATTTGAAGAAAAGAAGGGCTTCATTAGGTGGGAATGTAATTTTGTTATTTGCTTGAAAGATTATTGGTAAAAGGAGTGAACTGTACTAGATATTGTTAATGTTTATTTAGCTTCCATTCTTATTCCTTCCTATGTCTCCTCATCTCCTGGGTTTCAACATGTATAAGATTAAAATCACATTTTCCAGATTTTTATGGAGTTAAAGTTCTGGATATAATTTGAGTTCTGCCAATGACTGATGAGCAGTGGTACAAAATAGAAAATGGAAGCGAGGATAAGGCCATCCTTCTGTGGCAGGATAGGCTGACAACCAAGCTCCTGTGCTCAGGAGTGTTTGCATGATCTGGACTGCAGCTTCCCCTGTCAGTTCTCCAAGGATATGGGGCATCTGCAGTGGCAGCAGCAGTAGAGGCAGTGACAGTGGCAGGGTCTTGAACTTTGGATGGCAGCTCCAGTGGAAGTCTCCTGATTTCTATTCTGCCTTCCTTCCAACAATTACATGTTAATTTCCTACTAAATCTTTTTGATTGACATGCTTACAGTGGTTTCTGTTTCCCGTACTGAACAAGGAAAAACCTCCCTGAAAATGAAGCCTACGCCAAGGGAATATAGTTGAGAAATGAAGATTAAGAATTGTGTCCTTGTTTGATTGAGCCTTGGATCAAGTCTTACCTGAAGCCAATCCAATCCTAGATTGGTCAGTTATAAGAGCCCTCTCTTTCCTTTTCTTTCTACTGTAAACCACATTGTGTTTGATTTTTCTGTTAATTACATCAAAAGCATGATCTGATATTCTAAAAACACACTGTTGGGAAAAAAATCCATTCATTAATTTATTCAAAAAATGTTTACTGAATGCCTACTATGTGAAGCACTGTACTGGAAGTACAGTGATGGCCAAAAATAACACTGTGTCTTTAAGTGTTTATGTAGAAATTAGTTTCCTAAGGCTAGAGTGTTTGTAGGAAAGAAAGTAACTTAGTGTTTGGGAATGTGGATACATAGATATAGAGATACATAGATAGACAGAAACATCTTTGATAACTTTTGTTAATTTTCAATAATGGCCTAATATGTAATTCTCTGAGAATACCAATTTGATTATGGACCTATAGTCAATGCCACA